CCACGTGTGTGGTCCAAATGCCACGATGGACTAAAAAGACGTTTCCGAACCTAGCATCTCCACAATGCAGCTGGATCGGTTACGTGGCCATCTGCGACGACGCGAAAGAGATCACCAGGCTCGGGCGCCGTGACGTTGTGATCGCTTATCGGGGTACCGCCACCTCATCTGAATGGCTCGAGAATTTACGCGCCACGTTGACTTGCTTACCAGATGACATGACAACATCCAACGAAAATTATGATCAACCCATGGTACAAAGTGGACTCTTGAGCTTATACACAACAAACACCCAATGTGACCAAAGTTTGCAAGACACAATTAGAGAAGAAATTGGCAAGATTCTTGATAAATATAGTGATGAGCCATTAAGTATAACTATCACAGGACATAGTCTTGGTGCTGCCCTTGCAACATTAACAGCGTGTGATATTACTACAAAATTTAGTAACGCACCCATAGTGAGTGTTGTATCATTTGGAGGGCCTCGAGTTGGAAACAAAAGTTTTCGATGCCAATTAGAGAAAAGCGGTACAAATGTTCTCCGAATCGTCAACTCCGACGACCCTGTTACAAAAGTTCCGGGGTTCGTCATCCACGACGATATTAATGATGTGGCAGAAAGAGGGACTACCCACGTGGCGTCCATGAGGATGCCAAGTTGGCTACAAAAGTGCATGGAGGATACCCAATGGGTGTATGCTGAGGTAGGCAAGGAACTTAGATTAAGTAGTAAAGGGGATATTGCCACGTGTCACGATCTCAAGACATATTTACACTTGGTAACACTTATGAAAAATGTGCAGCTTTAGTTTGGAATAAATAAATAAATTCCAAAACGATTAAAAAACCAATATTTGGTTTGGTTTGGTTTAAATTTTGAAAATCGATACTATTTGGTTTGGTTTTAGTTTTACTAAAATTAAACCATAAAATAACCAAACCGAACTGAGAAATTAGCTATGTAAATTTTATAATTATTTATATATTATTCATAAATAAAATACAGATATTTTGTTAAATTTTAATTAACATAAGTCTTTAAGTTTACCATTTTCTCAAACCCAACACTTAAATTTTGGCCTAACTATTACAACTCTAATTTCAAGTCTATCAAAATCAATTACTTAGTCTTTACCTACCCTACCTCACATAAGATAGTCACACTTTTTTCTTAATTGAATCACTTTGTTCGTGTAATAATAAATCTAGTGTTGCTTAACTGAACACACAATAGGTTTTTGTGGATTGTTCATGTACTAAGTGTCCGTGTCTATCGAGATTCGTATGTCCTAAAAAAATTTATTACTTTCAAACCAAAAAAATCAGAAAAAACCGAACAAAACCGACGATTATTTTTTCTCATTTAATTTGATTTGGTTTTAAAAAATTAAAAATCAACTAGATTGATTTAATTTTGATTTTAACCAATAAATTTAACAAAAACTTTGACAAATTTAAAATGGGCAAATAGTGACATGACATTGATATTCAAGACATTAGGCAGACACAACTAAGACATGTGGGGGAGCAGTGTCTTGGCATCTAGGGCAAGCCAAGTAGGAACCAACGATTTATTTGAATTTTTTTCGATTAAAAATTATATTATTTATGTCTATACTTTATTTAAAAAAATACTTTTTTTCCATTAATTAAAATTTTCCATTGAAAAATGTTCATTGACTATTTGTAAGATATTTTGATTAAATCTGTGAGTTAGTCCAGCATTTTAATGGAAATCTACCATGCATTTTTTCACTGAGCTGGTTCGGTGGAAATGAGATTGAATCATATTTTATAGTACAATTTTTTCAATGATTCGTAGTGGAAAAGGTCTCTATTTTCCGTAGTGATATGTAGCAAATGTTGAACCCCTTTTAAACATTTTTATATATTTATCTTTTCATAATTTAAACTTCTTGATAAAAATTTGGACTCCGTCACTATTCACGACTAGGCAACGGCGCTAGATTCAGGCCATCAACATAGCCAAACACAGTGATAGTTACTAGACTCATATTGTGTTCTAGCTTAAGGTGACATGAGTTTTGAAATATTTTGAATGGCTAAGCATTTTTGGATTTGATTGTCAAAGTACATTAGATAAAATTATTGTGGCTAAGTGGACCAAATTAAATGTCTTATATATGTATGACAAGTGTCAAATAGTGAGACCATATATATATATATATATATATTTATATAACACCCTTAATATTACATGTAATAAACGTGGGAGAGAGCTAGAGAATAGAAAAATTAATTCATAAGTTTATGTTTTGTAAGAAGAAAAACTCAGATTTTAATTTTTGCAAAAAGAAAAAAGTTCATGTTAGCTCGGTATGAAGAGAATGTTTCTATCACGTGATAGAATTATAATAATTAATAAGAATAACTAGCTATTGTATTGACTAGTGATTATTTAAAAAATAATATTATGTGTATTTGGAAATTTGTAATTATAAGCATTTATCTATAAAAGAAATAGAGAAATATGCGATTTATTAATGCGATGTCTTAGAATATTATGATATTTTGTTTATGAACTATAATTTATTTATTTATTTGGTAAGAGTGTATAAAAATTAGGAAAATTTTAATATGAAATTTTCATAGTTTTAAAATTATATATAATTTAAAACTCATAATGGCAGAAACAAAACTTTTATTAAGATTGTATGTCCCCCTTAGATTAATGTTAGCTGTTCATTATTCTATTTCCTCACAAACTTTTAATATGTGACGACTTTTTAATTTTCTTTTTTACTTTAACTATTTTTACTATTTTATATTGTACTTTTTATTTTTCATTTTTTATTTATTTTTATATCCTTTCGATCCAATTTTAAAAAATGTCTTTTTCAGGTCATGATTCTATCAAAAGTAAGTTTTCTATTCGACAAATATAAAAATAGATAGATATACAACTCATCGCCTCAGACCCTATTTATAAACTATACTAAATATGTTATTATTATTATTATTACTATATTAATTGATAGTTTAGATTAGGATTGTTCAAAATCGAACCGAAACCGATAACCCGAACCGAAAAAAAGTTATTGGTTTATCAGTAATGGGTTATTGGTTTAGTGGTTTTGATAACTGTTTTGATTTTTTTGTTATCGGGTTATCCGTTCTTAACGGTTTGAGGTTTTTTCTTAACGGGTTAACCGATAACCCGATAGTAAATTAAATAATTATATTTATACCATTTGTATATAAAATCCTTGACTTAGAGTTCGATTTCCTACTTTTATTTTTGGTTGTCTCAACACTTGGTTATTCTACAATGTAAAATTGTTTGCTTTTGAGTAAGATGTAGCTTGTGATCTCATGTACATGGTTCATTTTGTTTGTCACCTTGTTTCTAAGTGATTTTCAAATTTTTTTTGTGTCAAATCATAACGGTTAAATCAATAACCGAACCTATAACAATTAATAACCGATAAACCAATAAACGATAGGCCAATATCTTAATGGTTCTATAACGGTTTAGCATATCTACAAACTGATAACGAATAAGTCAAATCGATAAACTTCAAAACTAAACCGAACCGATCGATACGGGCTTAGACTGTCTTCAACTCATTTTATTACAATTTCAATCAATACTCTATGTTCCAAAAAAGTTGTATTATATCTATATAGAGATAGAGTTAATAAAGAGAAAGTAAGTAAGTTATTTAATTTCTTCCCAAATTTTCTTTAGTTTTTCCTTACAAAACATTTTCTAAATATTATATTATATTATATCTATATAGAGATAGAGTTCACAAAGAAAAAGAAAGTAAGTCATTTAATTTCTTCACAATTTTTCTTTAGTTTTTCCTTACAAAATATTTTTTCTCTTCATTTTTATTTGTTCATATTTGACTTAACACACTTTTTACACATTAATAAATGAAAGAGTTTTTATAATCATATTACTCTTTAAATATAATAAATTTTTAAAGAAATATATTGAAAAAAATAACTATAATTAATAATAAGAGTAAATTAAAAACTAAGTAGTAAGTAATTTTTAATTTTTTTTTTTTATGACAAGGGAAACCTGTAGCCACTACCCTTTGGGTGCACCCTGACACTATAATCTTTACTCTTTCAAGGCGCCTAAAACCACTAGACTACATCATATTGTTGTGTCGAGGGTGTCCAAAATATGTTATTTAGCCACTTTATTTATTATTTTACTTGTATATACGGTATAATATTCCGACGAAGGTTGTCCATTGGACAAATGGACACCCTGACACAAGGGTGGCTACGCTACTGCCAAAAGGCAAACTCATTGCTTTCACTGGCAAGGGGTTTCGAACTTCAAACCTCCAACATGGAAATCCCAGGGCAAATTAAAACATTGGGCCATCCCGAAGGGTAATTTTTCTAAATTTTTTAACTAAATAAATTAAAAATAAATATTCATTTTTAATACACTAAAGAAGTAGAGATGAACGGAATAAATATAACTATTAACTATAGTACTATTAGAACAAGATAAGGGGCATTAAAAGAAAAAAAGGAAAGCCAAGGCCTCGAGTTTAAGCCTGGTATATGGAGAAAATTTTATGGGCAAATTACAGAAATCACATACTTTTAAGGCAAAATTCCTATTTATCCTTTAAAAGTTTATAATTACAGAAATCCCTCAAACAAATACAATAATATAAGCGCTGATACATTAATCTGATGCGCGAGATACAATAATATAAGCATTGATACATGCGCAAGATACAATAATATAAGCGCTGATACATTAATCTGATGCGTGAGATATAAGAGCTGATACACTACTCTGATGCGTGAAAATGAGGGATTTTAGAGATTTGTAAAACTTATAAGGGATAATGGTAATAAGTAAACTAAAATATGAGATTTCTATAATTTTTCCAAATTTTATTGAGAGTGTCATTTATTTAGTCGATGCTCCAATACGGGCTCAGCTCGGAAAACCCAAAAACAATAAACATTTCCTTCCCTAATTTCCAAACAAAAAGAGAAACAAAAGGGGAAAAGAGAAAAACAAAAGTTGTCCTTTTTCCCTCCATTCCAAAACAGAGAAGAAACCCATGCAACTGCGTCTCTTCCCCTTCTCTTTTCTCTCTGGTTTTCAACTTTTAGCACCAGAAAACTTCATTTTTGAGTAGACCAAGAAAAACCCATCTTCCCAATTTCATTTTTTTGCACTTTTCTTGGGCCAATTTCATCTTTGTTTGCTCTTTTTTCCGTTTCTGATCATCGTTTTTGCTATTAATTTAAGAAAAAGAGGCACTTGGGGTTGTGAATTTCAGTATTTGGGAAGTACCCAGAATGGGAAAATACGATTTTGGTTGGGCTTCGTTGTTGCTAGTTATACTTGTTTGGAGTGTAAATGTGGTAAGTGAAGGGGTAATTAAAGTGAATTCTAAGTTTGCTGGGTTGGAAAGGAATTTGCGTGCCCTAAAAGCTCATGATGAAATGCGCCATCTACATATTCTCGCCGGTATCGACCTTCCTATCGGTGGAACTGGCCGTCCTAATTCCGTCGGGTTTGTTTTTCCGTTTACTCCCTTTTATTGAATTTTGTGTTTTTGTTTGTTTATAGGTGTGTGATTCTGCACAGTTTGCTGTGTTTTTTTCTCTTTGGAAGTGACAAACAGTGATGCATTGTGATGTTGTACATTTTGCTGCAATTGTTGTACATTTCTTATTCTGCATGTTGCTTTTGCTGATGTGTGAATTTAAGGAAGCTTTATGTTAGGAGATCAAATGGGCAGGTTAGCTGAATTTGGGTGTATTGAGTAAATGATCTGCCCAAAAGTTACTTTGAGCTGAAATAGGTTGGGCTAAAATGGGGTTGACTAACTTTTTCATTTGTTCTTTTATAATTTTTTAACTACCCAATACACCTTTTTTTTCCTTTATTATGGTTGTATATAACGTATCAAAGAAAAAAATTAAATCTTTTTGAAAATATTTTGGCAATGTTTCGCTTATTGATCAATTTGGGCTATTTACTAAAACAGTTTTTAAATGGATTGAATTGGGCGGGTCAAACTTGAGTGGGTTGTGCACCATCCATGTTACAATAGTCAGAGGTGGATCCATGTGGTGGGTTGGGGGTGCACGTGCATTCGTTAACTATGAAAAGAATTTGGTATATTATATACCTTGAAGAACTATCATATATTTTGAAAGGCCCTTCAAACATATCTGCTGGATTGGGTCATTTGGTCAGGTTGCCCCTTAGGCCCTTGAGCGATGACGCATGACCTGAGATCGCGTCTGGCTGCTACATTATTTGGTGCCCCCATTGTCTTCAAATCTTGGTCCCACCTCTGACAGTAGTGGTTGTAAAAGTTTTGTTGTATTAAAAGAATTTGCATGCATTATCAATTGGCTATATTTTCAGTGTCAGCTTTTAATTAAGCCTATATCATCTGATGAATTAATAATTTCCAGAAGATACTTAGATCTCGGGTAATAAATTAGATAAGAAGATCTCGGGTAAATTAGATAAGATGATGAATTCCATGGTTGAGTGATTCGAATGATAGTTGTGTAGTCAGTTTGAGCTGCTATTGAAATCATTCCCTTGATCTTTTGTTATTACAGGCTTTACTTTGCTGAGATTGGGATTGGAACACCTCCAAATAATTATTTTGTTCAAGTGGATACGGGAAGTGATATAATGTGGGTTAACTGCATTGCATGTCAAAGATGCCCCAAAAGAGGCTATCGTAATGTATGTTTCTTTTAAATACACACTGAATATGTTATACGTATGTTTATAGTTGTTTTTGTGTGTGTCTATATTTTATTTCTGCTCAGTATATGAATTGCTCTCGAAAGCAAAGCTATTTTTACTTGATGCTGTACTCCGTCCTTTTTTATCTGAATGTTTTCCTGGGCAGATCGAGCTAACACTCTACAATCCAAGGGATTCTCTCACTGGTAAACTCGTTGTTTGTGGTCAATCATTTTGCAAAGACTTCTACAAACGTTCAGGATTAGGCTGCTCTGGTAATAGTTCTTGTATGTATGATCAAGCTTATGGAGATGGAAGCTCTACTAAGGGCTACTTCGTGGAGGATGTTGTCCAATACAATAAGGTGTCAGGTGATCTTCAAACTAAATCAGGAAACGGGAGTGTTATTTTTGGGTAAGATGTATGTTATCTAACATGATAGCAAAATAATATATCTTTAGCTCTTATAATCCTCAATCCAGAGCTTGATTTGTAACATTTAATTGAAAAGGTGATCTTACATGGGTTGCCTCTGCTTCAAAAAATTTCAAACTCATGCTTGTTATTCTTTGGTTTACTTAGCATTTATGAGTGGTCTGCATCCTTATGTGAAATTTGAACTTTTGAATACTCATTTGTTGCCAATAATTATGCATTAGTTGAGGCAAAATCTGGTGAGACATTTTCTCTTATTCCCTTTGTTGTTCATTCTCTTTTCTTTCTTGGATAATAAGTTTATTGATGTTTCCCCTTGTATTCTCGCAGGTGTGGTTATTCACAATCGGCTGACCTGATCTCTTCTGATGAAGCTTTTGATGGGATTCTTGGATTCGGGAAATCAAACTCATCCATACTTTCCCAGCTGGCTTCATCTGGAAAAGTGAAGAAAATGTTTGCTCACTGCTTAGATGGTGTGAATGGTGGTGGTATTTTTGCCATTGGGAATGTTGTGCAACCAAAAGTGAACATGACTCCTTTGGTACCTAACAAGTATGTACATTTTCCCAAAAGATTATAAAGCTTTTGATTTGTTTACTGCTCTTTTGTTAATTGCAATATTTCTCTCTGAACTAGTTGTCAGAGTCTTGCGTGCAGGATGCTGTTATTGAAGTTGACGACTTTAAATTGTTGATTACCTTTCTTTTTGAAATATTGGAAGATAGCAAAAACCATCATGGTTTCACTTGTCACAGTTTCTTATCCACCTAACACCCATTTTCAGAATGGAAGAATGACTAAAGTAGACATTGCGGCTCTTTTTGTTTAAGAGAGAATGGGAAGTGAATGGAATTCCGTTTCCGTTCTTTGGGGCTTTCAAGCCTTCTTGATCTTTTTCATAGTTGAGAAGGGGGAAGGAGTCTAATGGACATTAAGGAACCATCATTGATGGATGTTGCACATGACACATCAATTCGACACAAGGTCCACGGCTAATAGAAGTTGCTTACTTTCCTAGTAGCAAAGGAATGACAGGGTTTTTTCGTACTTATAGTGGGGGGGGGGGGTATCATGAGATCTATGCTGGTCGTCAGAATCAAGCGAAGGTCAAAGGACCATTCGACTCATTAAGGGGCATAGTGGTGCCCTCACCTGGCGCCATTTCCAGTCCTAGAAGCAGATGGGTGGACCGTCCCTGAATTCAGACCTAAAAAGCTCCTGGGGAAGAAAGAAAAACAAAGGAAATATTGATTACAAGTTGCATAATATGTCATGTGTTATCAACTTTAATATTACTGTCTTCATATTTTTTGGCACCATATTCTTACCATGCTGATAGCTTCTTATATAACCTTTTGAAACCACAAAATCTTGCACCATAATCTCTTAGTATTTTGCCATGGGAGCATTTCTTGTGTTTTCATTTTTTCCCTTTCTGGAAAGTTATAGATATTCTGAGTGCTCTCAAGTCTCATGGAATAACCCAACTTTCTCTGCTAGGGCTTCGAAGAGACCCCTCCCTTCTTCATAGTACTTACAATCTTTTGTCCTTGTAGTTGTCTTCAATCATTCTAGACAACTATTTTTCTATTGAGAAATATTTAGTGACCTCATCAAAGATTGTTGCCTGGAACTAGTTTATTTTCAAACACCCTGTATATTTATTTTTTATGGAGGAATATTTAGGAAACTGATCAAAGATGGTTTCCTATAACTGGCTCATTTTTCGAACACCATGTTTCTCCTGAGAGATTTAGTCCTATACTCCTATTTGTCCTCTGGATTCTGTTGCATTGACATCCAGTAGTCAGAACCCGTTATGTTGAGTTACAATTGTCACACATGAGTTGTATAAGGGTTTTGAAAGGGGTTAATAAGGGTATTGGATTACTTCACTTTCACTATTGGTTTAATGTTTTCGATTATATTCTTAGACCCCATTTGTTTATATTAAGGTTTAAACGTTTGAATCTGAATACACATCTAAATATTTTAAAATTTTGCATGTAGATATTGGTAAGATTATGTGTGTATTCTGTCAATCAGTCAGGATTAGTAGGATATCATTTTGGGTAATTTCATCATATAATTGGACCAAAAACTGATTTTATTTTCCTTTTTAAGATATGTATAGTTTGCTATTTGAACACCAGATGTGCTGAAGGAACGAGTTTGAGTTTCTCTCGATTCTCCCTCCATCTTATTTTCTCACATGGTATCAGAGCCTTTGCGAGTAATTTGTCCCTGCACATTTACCTGCAATTCTGGGAAGAGAATATTGTTGCCGTGCATTTTCAGGAGACTGTGAAAGTTGGCACAGTATTCTCTGGTAACTGTCAGCAAGTAGATCCACCGAAGTCTTCTATCATAAGTTGTATATTCCTGGTGGATGACAGGTTGATATCCTGTGTGGTACTTTTTTGGTCTCCTAAGCTTTTTGGGTAAAAAGCGTCTGATTGGAATGTCTTGTGAAACTCCTGAACATCTAATTCCATATTCTCACAAATATTAGTGAAGTAGTTTAGTTGTGACTTCGGATCTTCTTTTAGGTTAATCTCCCAGAACATCTGACATACAACTTCTGGTCCTAGTTAAATATTACTTATTCAGGTTTCTGTTAGTACTTCAGTATCACAACTTTTTCTCCTTGTGGTTGATAAATGCAACAATTTAAATACTTTAAACTGTCTTTTTTCTTAGGCCACATTACAGTGCCAATATGATGGCCGTTGAAGTTGGTTATCAGTTTCTCAACCTGTCTGCTGATGTATTTATGAATGGGGAGAACAAAGAAGTAATAATTGATAGTGGAACAACATTGGCTTATCTTCCTGATGTGATTTATAGTCCACTAGTGAAAAAGGTAGTTTGCTACTATGGCTCGTTTAGTCTTTTTGGTGGCCACTTAATTGAATCACAAATAGATATAATTGATTCTACCTAAAATTATTGAAATGTTCTGTGTTTCTTCACTTCTGTCAGATACTCTCCTGGCAACCTGATCTGAAATTGCGTCATGATGAGTATACATGCTTTGAATACTCTGGAAGGTATGGTGTGCACTGAGCCCTCATCTCTTTCCGCAGTCTGTAATTGAATGAAGTTATGCTATCATTCTAACTTGTGGTTTCTTCTTTATTTCATCACATTACTCTATCAATTTCTCAATCAACATCCTTATGAAGGATAGCTTAGCTGCTGTTGTGTGCTTGAAGCTTGTTTATTCAGGAGCAGTGGCAATTCGATTCTGAAGTGCGGTCATGCTATCCTTTATACTCTACTTCTTGAGATGTTGTCTGCAAGGCAAGGAGGTGGAATTTGATGGCTAATTCTATCTAAAGATTAACTGACAATTGATAACTGAATTGATTCACATTCTTTTATCAAACTAGTGGAAATTAGATGAGGTTGCAATTTTACACTGATCCATGTGGTCATGCCTCACATACTGTGCAAGATAATTTAGGAGAGCGACGTAATATATGTCCAAAGAATCAAAAGTCCTCTTTTATAATGACTTGGATCCTGTAAAAATACTAGCAATCAACTTACTAGAATAACTGTCAATCCTTGACTTGCAATAAAGTTATTTCAACAGTGGTGCTTGGTATGATGATGATCACCATGTGGAATAATGATATTAGAGCATGTAAAGCAGTTCTGTTTATTTTGTTTTGTGTCATTTGTAAATTACTAAAAATCATGGTTTTAGCAATTCACATGCCACTGCTTTTGCATCCGTGCCTTGGTTTTGTAACCTAGTCCACCATAGTCTATTGCCTTGAAAGTATTCTTAGAAAACCGAATTGTTTGAATGTTGTTTTTATTATGTAATGCTACTACTCATCAAATTTAGTCAACCGAATAGTTTGTCAACTCTGAGTAATAAAACAGCTATAGAAATTTACTTTCTGATATATTGGTCCACTTGAATATGAAGACTCTTAGTGTTTGACTAATTGCCTTAAACATTTCTTAGTTAACTTATCAAAGAAAAAAAAAGAAAGAAAAAATATTATTTTATTTGGGGGACTTGTTTCCGCTGGAGGTCCACGTGGAGGAATGAACTTTGTAAGCGACCCAATTCCTTTACATCTTCTCTTCCTTTTATATGTAAAATATTTTTCTTGAAATGTTTCTCTTAATATTCTTGCATTTTACAGCTATTTTTTAGTCATCCAGGTAAAAAGATGTCCAAATGCAATAACTTTTGCCTCCAACTGTTGCAGTGTTGATGATGGATTTCCTCAAGTCACTTTTCATTTTGAAAATTCTCTATCTTTAAGAGTTAGACCCCATGAGTATCTGTTCCCGTATGTAAGTATCTTCTTTTACTAGTTAGTTTTAACTCAATAAAAGAGTGTGTTCTTTTAAGTTTAACAGTATGTTTTAAGCTTTTTGATCTAATGTAATTAGAATGTAGTTGTCAAATTATCACTTATGGTTAGTAGTGTAGGACCATTGGCCTGACAAATTGCTTGAACTTGGAGAGTGGAATGTGAATTGCTTCATAATTGTGTAATATTTTAACAGTAGACGACTTCTGCTTACTTCAGCTGTGAATTAGGTAGCAACTTCCCATTTGTCGTTAGAGTTATTTCAGTTCCATCATGTGCCAGATATTTGACGAGATTTGCACAAGTGTACCTCCTTCTCCCTTCTAAGGATTATAAACAGTTGCAAATAGTATATCAGAACTTTATATTTATATGAACTTGTCGTAGCTTAAGCTGTCAATTGATTTTCTCTGAGAATATATTCTATCTTCATGATCATGTTTACCGAAGTAATTGACGAACATTTAAGGGAATAGTGTATACATTAGTTGATTCTATGTGGAATATCACAGTTGCCAGTAGATCTGACTTCTGTATGCTCTTTCAGGAAGATTTAGTTTGCATTGGATGGCAAAACAGTGGTAATCAATCAAGGGACAATTGGAACCTCACAGTTTTCGGAGGTGTGTTTATCTTTCTTTCATTTTTGTTAATTGCAAATGTCAAGGCTACTATTCTGTGATTGGATTATTATATTTTGGATTTTGAATCCAGCATTTGAGAGCTAAACTTTGTATCTTGGAAGAAGTGGCAACTATTTTTATCCCGAACAAATGTTATTTTGTGAAAGAGAGTCTACATTTAAATAAAATATCTTGACACGACTAATATTTATATAATTTTCTTGAATGTATGTTTTTCTGTTTGAAAACTAAGCAATTAGCACTCTGGATAAACAAGTAGGAGTGCTCTGGAACCTCGTTTCGATGATTTACGCCCAAATACTGTTTGAAACTTTGAATTGGTCAATTGCTGTAATGATACTGATGAGAAGTTTATCTGAATTCTTTCAATTACATTGTATGTTTCCTTGGTTGGATGCTCCATCTTAAGAAACTTAAAGTCGATTCTCTCACTATCTGATGTCTCATTTCCTTCTAAAAGGCTTGGAGATATTTTGATGCTTGCAGATTTGGTACTCTCAAATAGGCTAATCCTGTATGATCTTGAAAACCAAGCCATTGGTTGGACTGAATATAATTGTAAGTATAAGTTATATCTGTTTGATACTTGCTCTACATTTTGGTACATTGGGAATTATATATGCTTTGTATGGATAAACTTTTTCTTGCATTTGGCCTGGAAAGTGATTGCATCTTACACAGTTGTAATTCATTTCCCTATGAACAACAACTGTTTTGGTCAGTTTTATGAGTCATGATCTTTTATATTGCTCGAAAGGTTCGGTTGAATTCACTGTTAAAACTCATGAACTTTTGTATTGTGGTTGATTTCAGGCTCATCAAACATTTCATTAAAAGATGAAATTACTGGATTAGTTCATTTAGTAGGTGCTCACACTCTGTCAAGTGGTTCTCGTTTGACAGCACAAATGGCTGTAACATTCTTGTTGTTTGCAGCTCTGCTGCACAATCTATTCAACTGGTAAATCTGGTAAGTATTAGCTTCTTTGGTACCTGAGACAAGAAGCGTTCGTTCGACTGTGAAAAAAATACTTAAAAAGTGTTGATACAGCAGCTTGTAGCTCTGTGTATGTGTGTGTGTGCGCATATTTGAAATATAGAACAGATTAACAAAGAATTCCATTTTGTATGTAGCTGACTTATGTTACAAAAAATGCATTAATGAAAGTGGAGTTCTGGTTATATTTACTCTTCTCTTATAACATCTGAACAAGTTTTTTTTTTTTTTTTTTTGCTTCACAAGTATTAAAATGCTTAGAGAAAAGGTCCAAAGTTGTCTTTCGTTTTTTAAGTATTGAACTTTTCTTTTTAATCTGTGTTAAAGAGCGTCTCTTCTATATTTATTAAGTTTTCTAATTTTAATAGGAATTAATCTGTTTTAAAGAGCGTCTCTTCTATATTTATTAAGTTTTCTAATTTTAATATCCTATGTGACAAGTTTAAGATGACAAGATTTAAAGATCTCTCTTCATTATTCAAATTTCATGTTCGATTAAATTAAAATACTTAAATTGGAACGGAGGGAGTACTTATTTCTTGTATTAAAAAGAACAATATTTTAAAACATAGGGAAAAGGCTCAAATATGCCATCGAACTTTCAGAAAAGGCTCATTTATGCCATCCGTTAAAAGTTTGGCTCATCTATGCCATTACCGTTTAAGAAAAGGCTCATTCATGCCATTATTTTTTAACAGTGGTTTTGCAATATCATTTTTGCCACGTGGCCAATTATAATTCGGCCACGTCATTATATTTTTTATAATAAAAAATCAAAATTTTGAACAAACATTTTTTTCAAAACCATTTTTGCCACGTGGCCAATTATAATTTGGCCACGTCATTATTATTTTTATAATAAAAAATCAAAATTCTGAAAAAAATAATGATGTGGCCGAATTATAATTGGCCACGTGGCAAAAATGGTTTTGCAAAACCACCGTTAAAAAATAATGGCATGAATGAGCCTTTTCTTAAACGGTAATGGCATAGATGAACCAAACTTTTAACGAATGACATAAATGAGCTTTTTCTGAAAGTTCGATTGCATATTTGAGCCTTTTCCCTAAAACATAAGTTTGACACCTTTGTTCCATACTTTCACTTTAACGTCAGTCAAGTGGTGTTGATGTTGAATGACATATTCAATGACATACACCATTTACATGTAATCATAACTAAATGACTTATCAAATCGATATGCATTTTTCAAAAAAAAATTATGTTCGATTGATTAAAAATTTGAAATACTATATTGTAGAAAAATAAGTTTCTTACAGATGAGGAAATTGATTTTCGATAAAAATGACGAAAATAAGTTTTACATGTATTATTTCACGTCAATTATGTCTTCCACATCTTTCAAGATTCTTCATATTCCATTGGATTAACAATAGGAAAAAAGTTTCCAGGTAATTAAAAATAAATAAATCTTATTTATCTCATCACGGCTCCTTCTCGAGACTTTCTAGAAGTCATGAGCTACCTAAAACCAAATACGTTATGGCATGCGTACCTAATTTTTGGGGCATGTTTGAACATGGTACACAAGGAATTTAGTGAACTCACTTTATCCACGTACGTGATATGGATACTTTTTTCCCACATGTGCCCCTAACATAAAAATATATTTATCAAATATCATTCATTGCACTTCAACTATAAAGAAGTACACGACCACTTGCACTTCAACTATAAAGTAGTACACCGACCAGAGTTGTGTGGAGTGGTAAGTACGTCTTTATTCTTAATCAAAGGTTTCGAATTCGAGTCAGTCATCTTTGTTAGGGAGCATGAGTCTGGATTTAGTTGAGTTTCAATGTAGGTATTAGTCAATGAATAAAAAACCAAAAAAAAACTACAAAGTAGTACAGCATATCTCATAATTGACATGATTTCCTTGTATCGTCAAACATTCATTACGTAGATAAGTTAACCACTTAAAATATGTTACCATAATATGTTCAAATAATAATTAATATATATAGTTAAAGGTGAAAAGATATTCTACGTAATGGATGTTTGAGGAAGCTTTTTTCCATAATCTATTTCACAAGAGTCTAATAAAAGTATTTATCACGTGTTCATGTAATATACTTACAAATTTACCAGATCGTCGATGTGTTCCGCCTCTAATAAACACCTTTACCAAAAATGTTCACTCCTCCCCCGGTCCCCCCCCCCCCCCCCCCTCCTAATTGTAAATGGTGACTCATTGTTAATGAAACCAAAAGTAGGTTGGCTTTCTCTTCCCAACTTTCTATTTATATAATACTTTGATAACAACAAACACAATCCAATTTGTTTCTTCTCCATTTCATCTCATCTCTTTCTACCCAAAAAAAACCCATAATTTTCTCAAAAAAAATAAAATGAGTGACCATCCAGAACATATAGTAATCCTTCCATATCTGGCACTTGGCCATATGATACCTTTCATTGCCTTAGCCAAAAAAATTCAAGAAAAAACTAACTACAAAATCACTATTGTTAGTACCCCTTTAAATGTCAAATATCTGAGTTCCACTATAGCCAAAGATTCAACTAATTCAAATAACATTTCATTAGTTTCACTTCCTTATAATAGTAGTGAACATGGTTTACCACCAAATACAGAGAACACAGAGGGCTTACCATTAAAACACATGGTAACAATTTTCAACTCAACATTATCTCTTAAAGAACCACTCCAAAAATTGATTCTTGAAATTATTGAAAAAGATGGTAAGCCCCCACTTTGTATAGTTTCTGATACATTTATGGGATTTGCTAGTGAAGTTGCAAGATCTTGTGGAACTTTTAATGTGAGTTTTACTACTGCTGGTGCTTATGGAACTGCAGCTTATGTGTCACTATGGTTAAATCTTCCTCATTTGTTAGCTATTGATGGGGTTTTCAAAATGCCTGGTTTTGATGATTCTTGTTGTTTTTTCTCTGTTGATCAACTTCATCCATTTATGAAATTAGCTAATGGGGATGACCCTTGGTCTAAAGTGGTGAAATCTTTGTTATTACCTTCTTTTGATTCTATAGGGTTTTTGTGTAATAGTGTTGAGGATATTGAACCTATGGGGGTTAAAGCTATCGAGAATCTTACTAAACTTCCTGTTTGGTGTATTGGACCTTTGCTTCCTCAATGTATGCTCAAGAAAAGTGAAAAAGATTCAATCTTTGAATCAAGAAGTGGTAAAGATCCAATCTTTGAGTCAAGAAATGGTAAAGATCCAATTTTTGAATCAAGAATTGGTAAAGATTCAATCTTTGAATCAAGAAGTGGTAAAGATTCAATCTTTGAACCAAGAAGTGGTAAAGATTCAATCTTTGAGTCAAGAAGTGGTAAAGATTCAATCTTTGAATCAAGAAGTGATAAAATTTCAATCTTTGAATCAAGAATAGGTAAAGAACATGGATTGTCACCAGAAGAATGTATTTCTTGGTTGAATGAACATCCTGAAAGATCTGTTCTTTACATATCTTTTGGTTCACAAAACACAATTAGTACATCACAAATGATGGCATTGGCTATGGGGTTGGAAGAAAGTGAAAGGCCATTTATTTGGGTGGTTAGGCCACCTTTTGGTTTTGACATAAAAGGTGAGTTTAGATCCGAATGGTTACCAAAAGGATTTCAAGAAAGAGTGTCAAAGAGTAAAAAAGGTCTACTAGTGAAATCTTGGGCACCCCAATTGCAAATCTTGAGTCATAGTTCAACGGGTGCGTTCTTGACTCATTGTGGATGGAATTCAGTATTGGAGAGTTTGAGTCAAGGGGTGCCTATCATTAGTTGGCCTTTGGCTGGTGAACAAGCATTTAATTCAAAGATGTTGATGGAGGAAATGGGGGTTTGTGTTGAGTTAACTAAATGGTATTCAAGTGATGTTGATAAAGAGGATGTGAAGAAAGTGGTGGAAACTGTTTTGGGAGAAAGTGGAAAAGGGAAAGAAATGAAGGAAAAAGCAAATAAAATTGGGATGTGTATTAGAGATGCTGTTAAAGAAGAAGGGGATTTTAAAGGTTCTTCTGCTAAATCATTGGATGATTTCATATCTACATTACTTTGTAGAAGAAATATGTCATCTTAAGAAGGAATTTGGAAGAGTCGAGGATCTTTCTGAAATAGTCGTTCTACCTCCACGAGGTTAAGGGTAAGCATGTATACACTATACCCCCTCAGACCTCACATGTAGGATTACATTGGGTATGTTGTTGTTGTTGTTGTAATACTTTGTAGGTCTATCGGAAACAATATTTTTATCTTCACAAGATAGGGGTAAAGGTTGTGCACATATCGCCATTCTCAGAACTCACTTATGGAATTATACTGGATTTATTATTGTTATTGCTGTTGTTGTACTACTTTGTAGAATAAATATGTCATCTTAAGGAGTTTGGAACATTCTAAGGTCTTTTGACTATATATTAAATGCAGTTGATTAGTACTTTAGGATAAATAATTAAATTCCCTACTAACCATGATGCTGTATGTTCTTTAAGGGCTCGTTTGGTGTGAGGTATAATAACAAATAGTCCCGGGATTAAATTATAGTACCGCTTATTTTGTTGTTTGGTTGGCAAGTTCGGGATAACTTATCCCGGGATTAATAATTAGTACCGGGATAAGTTATCCCTCTCCTTGGGTGGTATAGTAATCCCGGGATAACTTATCCCGGGATAAAATAGGTAAATGACAAAAATGTCTCTTTCAACCCTTTTGTTATATCACTTTTTACATTAATGAAGGGCATTTTTGTAAACAAATAAATTGTTCTTAAAATTTATTATTTTGAATACAACAAACCAAACACTCAATAAAAAATAATCCCAACACAACTTATCCCATCATAACTAATCCCAACATAACTTATCCCAACATAACTTATCCCATCATAACTCATTTTCAAACCAAACGACCCCAAGTTTCCATTTGCAACACCTCTGTCAAACATATGATAGGGTAAAGATGAGTTTCAAGTTTGAAAAAGTGATTTTGGCTGTTGTGAAAAAAGAGAGACTCAAGTCCTAGTAATCGTACCAAATACTAATTATGGTGGTGAAAGCTCATACATAACTCGTTATGCTTGGCGCCAATAATGCCAACTGCGAAATCTACTATTACATTAGCTATTTTCGTTATTACTTTCCGAATCAAAGTGATTTTATGAGACTTTCTCCTACTAGTGAAATAGAACTTCTAAATTTATAGCTAAAACTAATCACTCTCTTATTTCAAGTATATTAGGTGTTTTGACAAATTAAGTTTGTTTTAAAATAGTTGACGTTTTAGAAAAATAACAAGTATATACTATTTTTTTTAGATCTACCCTTGTTGTTCTAATTCGTAGAATGTTAATTAAGTGAGACGTTTTAAGATAGATAAAGAATCATTTAAATGAATACTCTTATTATTTAAATTATTTAACATCTTGTTTAAAAGGTGTACAAAACCTCAAAAACACATAAACTCAGATGGTAAGCACCCTCCATCTCCAGTTCGAAGGTTGTTGGTCCGAATCACCAAGGGAGCAGAAAAGAAAAGAGAGCCCCCAAGGGAGGGGTAAAAAAAAGAAGAAGCAACAAGCACTCTGTAACTTTGCAACAGAACAAAAGTTTAGACATTAAACTCACCATCACATATCATGAAAATTGGATCACTTAAGTTAGTAAACTAGTTATCGCTACACAAAGAACTCACAAAAATTAAAAAGTTAAAAAAACAATTCCTTTAAAGATCTATCTGAAAGACGTCCTACTTGAACTCGAATCATATTTTACCTGAAAAATTTACCTTGCTAAACAACACAACCTACAGAAATTCCTAAATAGTTTCTGCTTCTGGCTATCCTCTACCACGAATTTGCGATACAAAAATGTCAAAATGGACTGGATGACAATAGTACAGTATTCTCGTATCGGTTCTGAAGAGGCTACTCATCTTGATTGCTTTTCTCTTTTTTAATGTTAACTGGTATTTCGTCATAAAGACATATCCGCAATGCACCTTCCAGTACTCGTTGGTGAAAGTAGTTCCTATACAAATCCCAGAACTCATCTCTGCAAAGTGGAATGTCTACAATGAGATCTCATAAATTGTAGGTAGAAAGATTAAGGGAGACAGATTGCTGATTTGTTATTTATAACACATTCTAAGGGAAACTATGGGAAATGAGAAAGTCAAGGATATGAGGAAAAATAGGCAGATTGATCCAACACTTGGTTTAAGTATTACTAGTAACTTTAGATCGGGACAAGTGTGAAATCAATTCAAACGTAAACAGAATCTAACCTGACTTGAGGCAGTGTCAACAGTGAATAGCCCTTTGTGTCAGTTTTCATATCCAGCACAATCACAGCTAGTCGAGATAGGCCAAGTGCCTCCACATCTATCAACTTCTTAATCCTGTCACCAGTTTGAAAGAATCAACAAACCAAATTTTAATGGTATATGATAGCACTTTCAACCACAAAAGTATCAAATTGCAAATTGGTGCATTTGGAGATACACCTAGGACATCACCAAGTCATTTTACGCGACATCTTATTTTATCTTTTGTGAGTGTGCTTGCACCCTCTCGTGGAAGTGATATTTTTTTTATCTTTACTCTATTCTTGTATGATGGTGAATCCATATGAACATCTTCATAGATATAATACACATCTTGTGGGCTGTGGCTACAAATTCGTCCGACTAAATCATGCGTGCTTGCGAGAGGATAAAAGCAATTTTGAAACACCATTGTGCATGATTTCATCACTCCTTGATCATGAGGCTTCATCACCTTTGTGGTAATACATTCATAAAAGTTTATAGAAAGGTCGCTATAAATCAACTGAGCTTTATATAAATAGCAATTTTCGTTTCATCTAAATGTCTCATTGTATTGTAGTGGCAAAAACAGACATAACAAATATCAATAGAAAAATAATTCAACGTCACAGTTCATAAACAATATATTTTTAAGTTAGTTGAAATGAGTCCAACTTGCAAGGAAATACCACACATACCTGCTTGGTGTCCCACTTGCAATATTAACACGATTCTTGAGAGCAGAAGCCTGTGATGAATAATAACAAAAATCATCCCTAGCTTTTTCAAAATTTCTCTTTAGCTTTTGATGTGCACAAATAGCAGAGAGCTTTTTTGTCAATGATCCAAAATTATACTTGATGAATCTTGCAAGTAGTACATGGAATTATTATATAAGTACAAGTAGTATATGGATACCTGCTCCTCAATCTTCATATGCTTTGAGAAAAGCTTTGCAGCACGGCATTCACTTGTCAAAGGCCGCAATTCTCTGCCAAAGAATTTTTTTTAATAGGTCATACTATGAGAAGAACTACTGATAGTTGAGCTACATTACTAAGAGCTTTGTTACAGGATTAAGTTATGCATGCGGAACGACTCAAAGAAAGAATAAGCTCCCACTCTAACAAAAGACACCAACCTGAGAAGGTCCAACGAACGCAAGGCAGATAAGCTAATAACCAGAAGTGCAGGTTGCCCTGGATCAATTTTCTCATCAATCTCCTTTTCACATAGACTCTCTTTCCATGATGGTCCAAAAGCAACCTTCATATGGTCAGCCAATGCACTACTAATTTGAGCGTGATCAGGATTGAGCTCAAGCATGCATGTCTCTGTATCATTTCAGTACAAAGTAAGATTTAGAACGTAGTTAGAAAAGCTATTCAAGCATAGAAAAAGAATGAATGTATGAGTTTAAATGCATCAGGTACTTGTCCTCCAAAATTGTACTTCTCTGTCCAGTCGGTGAAAATTGCTCTTCTTCTTTTCTTGATTTTCATTGTTTATCAAAATTTTACCTGCTCAAACTAACTGCCAAAAACCTTTTTCTAGCCAAGGAAACAAATAATAAGACGACTACTACTACGCCTCAATCCCATGCTAGTTGGAGTATGAATATCATGAATGCTTTGTTTGGGTCAATATTTTAATATTTTGTACTCAAGGATTACTAACACTAGGAGTTCTCGAATATTCTCTTACTGATTATTTCTAATATAGTACGAGTCTTCTAATTGGATCACTTATACGGATTCTGATATGTTCTAAATCTTTTGAGATGACTTCTTTCCGTCGAGAGTAATGGTAGTCCAAACGTAGACTATTTTACAGGTACTTGCATATTCCCACGCCACAGTACAGGTACCATGGAACATCACTACCTATTGGGGTAAATGGCACGAAATCACCTAGATCTTTTGCCTCTGCTCTGATACCACTGCTATCACTACTATTATATTCACCAATAACCAAGTTTTACCCAAAACGCCAATATGACCAACTACTTCAGTAGTCATAGCAAGCCATTACTACATTCCAATGTGACAGAAATCTAAGCTCGCTCCAAACAAGTACAACCAACATTTACTTTAAAATTCAAACTTCCATAAAAAATTTATTCACCAACTTAAACCTCTAAAATTTGATCAATCTCCTATACAAAATTTTTAACTTGTGCAACATATATACAAAATTTCCTCCAACAACCTAGTAGCTATTGAAATAATCATAATAAAGAAAAACCCAACTCCATCAACTTATGAGTAGTGCGGAACCACCATTTTAGCTACGTAGTTTTGGCTCAAAAAGCATCTATTGTTGGCAAGGTTCAGAGAAAGAGACGCATCTCATGCGATGTGAAGTAGACATACTAACCTAATGCAAGCCTTAGTGCTTGCTTCCACGGCTCGAAGTCCAATGGCAGAGCCAGAATTTTCACTATGGAGTTTCAAAAAATGAAAAAACGAACACACGTGGAAGTCAAAAGGGCTTAAACATCTGCTATATTTATACATAAAAAATAATTTTGTGTGTAATTTTCCACCAAAAAGGATTCGGATGAACCCCTTGGCCCTGCCTATCTTCACCCTAGCTCAAACATGTGAGCTATAGGTCACATTGAGACAACTTTATCATTTACTCAAAGGCTCAAACTTTGTATTTATGTAAAATAAATTCATCTGATAGCATAAATAATCTATCCAGCACCGAGTAAACAAAAAAGATAAAATCTTTGCTTCCGAACTCATAAACTAAAAATCCTAACTTCACCTCTAATACTCATAGAACTTGGGGCAGACATTAGCAATTCATGTATAGTTATTTCATCACTCTACTCTGCATAAGATTATACATGAATTCTCTCACAACTCTATGGCTATATTAGTTACGCAGATTTCTAAATTACAAATCAAACATAATAATAACTTGTTTCCTATCTAAATATCAAACATTGAATAACTTATACATAACTTGCTTCTTCGGAGATAGAAAAAACCTGTAAAGGAATCGAGTTCGAGTGAAGAAAGCTGAATCCTATTAGCTGATTGATACTGTTCATGAAAAAACTCCAGCTGCTGCGCTGCTGTAGGAAAACGAACAATATCGTTTAACTTGGTGTCTTTTACTTTAATTTTGGATTTCGCATTTTCAATAGATTCGCCATTGTTGCTGCTGCTTCTCGTCTTTTTCACTTTTTCCTTCTTCCTTTTGTTATTCACTACTTTTTTGGGTTGCAAGGGAAATCGCTTCTTCTTTTGGTGGTGCTGCTGCTGCTTCTTCTTCTCTTTGCCGCTCCCCATTTTTTGGTGCCTCTGTTCGTTGGTGGCCGGCCTTATGCTAGGTTTGAAATATTGAGGGGAACGGGTAATATAATTTCAAAATATTTATTTTAAAATATCACATAAATTAATATATATAAAATTAAATAACAATAATATAATCGACATAATATTACGAGAGAGGTCTAGAGAGAATGAGATGATAAAACCTGACTTATGAATTTGAGAATTTGTTACTTTCTCCGATCAACAATAGTTGTGCATCATGCTATTTTGGAATGTCCAACAATACTTATCTATTTTATGAAATTAATGGATAATTTTATATTTAGTTCCTAATTTACTCTTATCATTAATTATAGTCATTTCTTTATTACATTTTTTCAAGACCTTATATTTATTACTCTGCTATTTATAGTTTCTTAAAAAATGTGCAAAATCGAGAGTGAACAAGTATTATTGGACAGATGAAGTATATGACATTGAAATAGTATTGTGCTGAATTTAATAAATTGATATAATGATATTGACATAATGTAGACTTATTACAATACCTGAAATTTGAAAAAATATCAAAAAGTAAATTTTATTTTTTAGAAGTCGACAATAATAGATTTTGTATAATGCACAAGGTTTAAATGTTTGGATGACTTCAAGATATTCAATAACAAGAAAATAAAAATAATACTTCCTCCGTCCCTTTTTACTTGTCAAATTTTGACTTGACACACCTATTAAGAAAATAATTATTGATATAGTGAGTTTACCATTTTACTCTTATTAATTGATAGAGTCTTAAACATATTTATTCACTACATTCTCTCAAAGTCATTACCTCGATATAAATAAATTATACTCCCTCTGTCCCTAATTACTTGTCCACTTTTCCTTTTTAGTTGTCCCTAATTACTTGTTCATTTGACAAATCAAGAAATAACAAATTTTTTACCTATTATATCCTCAATTAATTACTTTGAAAAGGTAGAACTTCTTGAAAATTGTAACATCTCGCAATTTGAAATAGCTAGGAAGAAGCTAAGAATTGGAAATAGTCATTTTTGGAAAGAATTGAAAATCTCGAAATTTGTTTAGGTTAGGAAAAGTGAGTTTTTGGTCAACTCAAACGGCCATAACTCCTAGCTTAGGATGAGTTAGGTGTACTTCCAGATATGGTTGAAAAGCTCTTGGAATGATCTTTCCAACAACACCAAGTTTGCGCGATTCCGAGTTCGTATGAGTAACTTATCCCCTTTGAAAGTTGGGTTGTTGGATTAAGAAAACTCCAAATCTGGATTTTTGAAGGGTAGTTTGGTCTTTTCCTTACCCTTTTATTTTAATTCATTTTTGGTAATTACTTAGGGGTCTAAACTGAACTTAGTCAGTTTATGCTTTTGAAAAAAGAGTTAGGATTTTGAGAGAAGAGAAAAGAAGAGGAGAAAAGAGGAGAAAGGAGAAGAACATTCAAGATTCGTCAAGATCGTCAAGTTTGACTTGTGGATTTCGTCGGGGTAATCCCTACAAGTTATGTGAGATCACATAGCGTTGTGTTAATTCTCCCACGCGCCAATCATGATTAATTTCAGCGAATTTAAGTTCTTGAAAGCTTAGAAATTGAGTTCTTGAATGAGTTTGTTGAAGTTTCATTAGATTCTTGTTTCGTTGAATTCGTTGAGGAGTTGTTTGATCCTAATATGTGATTTTAGGTTCAATTTTGAGTAGAATCTGTTGTACTTTGAACATTTAATCGATTCTAAGTGTTAGGTAAAAGAACCCATGAAGTTTAGATGGTTTAGAGCCGAAAAACGAAGAAGAGATTTCGTCGGACGAAATCCGACATCGATGGTGCGTCGCGGAGCTGGTTCCCAGTTTTGGGAATTTTCGTTTCGTGTCGCGGAGCCATCACGGAGTCTTCTGCCTCAAAAGTCATTTTCGAAACTAAAAATTTAATATGTCTCTGCGTCGCGGCCCACCCTCAGATATTGATTTTTGGTCTTTTTCTCATGTTTAGCTATCTAAATTCATTCCTAAACATCATGAGATCTTTCCTATCACAAATCGCGATCCTTGAATCTATTATTCAATTTAAGAATCAGTTAGGAGTCAAGTCAAAAAAAGTCAAGAGTTAAGTTAAGAGAAGTTCATAAAGTTACTTTTTTTAAAAGTCTTTTACAAATGTTTTAACTTTGTTTTAAGACTTAAGTTTTGAGTTAAGTAAAGAGTAAAGAGTAAAGCTTGAAGTTCATTTCTTCAAAAGTATATGGGGATTATGTATTCCCAAAGGGTTTAAAATATTGTCACATTTAAACAAGAAAGGAAAACCTTGATTTCCAAAGAGCCTTTGAGCTAGTTTTCAGAAAAGAGTAAATATTTTCATAATTAATCAAGAGGGGAAACTTTGATTTCCAAGATAGCCTTTGAGCTAAGTTTTGAGCAATTATCTCAAATCACAGAAAGAAGTATGTTTTAAACATAAAGAGCTAGTATCGTATTTTGGGAGTAGTATTGAGCACCGATATGGGGACGAGCTTGAGTTTCGATAACTCACGTCTCCATAAACCATGTAGCCATCATGGGTAGAAAAGGATCATACTTTTTAGATGAATCTTTTTCGCATAGACTAGTGGATCCACTTAGTAATTTAGGTCATATACCCTTGGCAAGGTATAGGATGCGTTGGTAGCATGATGGAGATCGTTGTATCATCACAATAGCTCTTATGTGATGGTTGTCGGTTAGAGAAACTCCCAGCAGTACTTTATATTTTTATATACATCAGTTTATTTGTATTTTTACATACATCTCAGAGTTATTTGTATCTTTGCATACACACAGAATTGATATCATGTTTTAAACAACTTTTATTTATATTGAAATGAGTTCAGTTATGTTGAGTTGAGTTGAGCCAGGTAAGTTCTTCATTTCCTTTCAGATTCTTTTCAAGCCTATGTTGTGTTTAACATTTCAACTCGCATACTCGTACAATCAATGTACTGATGTCAGTTGACCTGCATCGTATTATGATGCAGACGCAGGTAACTAGGATCAGTATCCAGCGCATCGTTGATCCAGTGAGCAGTTCAGAGTCTGTTGGTGAGCCTCTTTGCATTCCGAAGGATCCCTTTTGTTTACTTTCAGTATTAGATAGTTCATTAGGATGTCGTGGGACTGTCCCGACATCCATCCCAGTTGTTTTAGAGGTTTCATAGATAGTCAATCAGATGTTAGTTCATTCGTCATCATTTTGTTATTGACTTATGTTCAGATTTAAGTTGCCATTTTGGCTAAGTTAAATGTTTATTTTCAAAACATTATGAGTTCAGTTTGAGACAATTAAGTTGTTTAGCATTTGAATTCCTTTCTTATTGCATATAGTCTTCCACTGAGTAAGTAAGCCAGGCCAAGGGTTCGCTTGGGGCCAGCAATGGTTCTCGAGTGCCGGCCACGTCCAGGGTGTAGGCTCGAGGCGTGACAAAAATCTTAAGTTTTAAATTCATCCACTTCATAATTATTAAGGGTAACATGGTAAACTCACTATGTCAATTATTATTTTCTTAATAAGTGTGCAAATTCAAAAGTGGACAAGTAATTAGGGACAGAGGGAGTAAAAAAATGTTATTTCTTGATTTGTCAAATGAACAAGTAATTAGGGACAACTAAAAAGGAAAAATGAACAAGTAATTAGGGACAGATGGAGTATAATTCAAAAGTGGACAAGTAAAAACAGACATCAAATTAGGAAAAATTGGACAAGTATATAGAGACAAAATAAGTAAAATGGAAATAAAAAATAAATATAAGAATAATACTTAATATGGATTTATATTAATCGTCACCATATAAATGAAACACCAAAATAAGTAATCGCGTAAGAAAGGTAGTACAACTATCTAATTATTCAATTTCTCAATTATTACAACAATCTCCACGTCAAATACAATAACAAAAATATATCTAGTGAAATCTTATAAGCAGAGTTTGAAGAGGGTAGAGTGTATGCATGTCTTATCACTACCTCATGGAGGTAAAGACGTTGTTTCTGTACAAGAATTTCTAATATATATAAATAAAAAATAGTAACGAAAACGTAACAACTAACAAGAGAGGCAATATAAAGCCTAAAAGAAAGAATACAAACGACAAAAAAAAAAATGCAGTAGTCAAAACCTAGTAAATAGATAATGATAGATATAAAAAAATTTAGAACTACAAGAATACGACTATTCCAATGACAATTTTTATTTTAGTGACCTTATAGTCGAGCGGGTCCTGATATTTATTTTGGACGATTTACCTCCATATATAACACGAGTATTTATCACACTTAAAACAGTGTGTAGTTTCGTGGAAACTGTTAGTGGGAATCACTTTCCCTTTCAACAATACTAAAAGCATTTATTAATGGCGTACGGTACCTTTTAGCTCCACCAATCCAATCCAATGCCTTCCACTTTGTACTAAGAATCAAATTCCTTCCTTATCTCCTTCAACGGTCCCCAAATTCACTCAAATGAACAAAAATGGGTAACATTTTCAGATCTACATTTCATAAAAAGAGTAGTCGAAGTAGTAGTGATTGCAGTTCTTCTCGAGGAACGAGGAGTCGGGAGATTTCTTCTTTTCAATCTTCAATTAATGAGAATTTTAGTTCAATTCCGGTGAAGAATTGGTCTTCCGGTTCGGGTTCTGTGAATTCGAAGAAGGATTCGAGTAATTGCAGTGAAAAGGATTCGGGTTCTGTGAATTCGAAGAAGGATTCGAGTAATTGCAGTGAAAAGGAACCGGGTTCTGTGAATTCGAAGAAGTATTCGAGTAATTGCAGTAAAAAGGAAACGGAAAAGATGATGAAGGATAAGAAGAACAAGTATTACTATATTCCGGATAATTTCAAATCAGTTGATCAGGTTTTTGCTCGAACTCTTTCATTTATGCCATGCGAATCGAGTCGTGAAAGTAGATACTAATGTTTTGTACATCGAAATGAGCTTTGTATTTGACTAGTATTGAGTTTGAAAACATAAATAATATTTTGGGCGTATCTTAAAACGTCTTTTATCTC